CCGGGCTGCCGGCCGGCGTCGGGCCCGGGCTGGGAATTTCTCTGTTCAGCGCCTCGATACGCGTGATGCCGAGTCCCCCTTGCCCCCTCCGCACTCCACTCTGGATGCCCCTAAGTTATCTCCCGAGGTTTTTGAGGAACACTGCTGTGTTTCAAGGCTTGGGCTCGCCCGAGTAGCTGTCACATGTCAGGCAGGATTCACAAATAGCAGATGTGCTCTGAACCTTTTTTTACTGCTGTAACGGGCTGCCTTGGCCGTTTTCAGATGAAATCGGCTGTGAGAAGTGAGGCAGTCTAGCCTAGGAGTATAAAATTCCGTGCCTGTCGCCAAGAGCAGTAAGTTGCGAAGCGGACCGGATCCTAGGCACCGCGCTGGTGCCGGAGGCTCTGTCAGAGGAGCCGTTTCTATGGATTAACCCGCTTCTTTAAGGAGTGCTTCTAGTATGTGCCCTGAGAGGTAGTTGAAGCTTGCGGGGGTGCAGTAAACTTCACAGGGGGAAAGCACGGTGAGAGGAGATGTTGGTAGCTTAATACGTGTTTATTTACAAGGCTGTCCAAGTGTATGTGTCATGCGGATCGAACCCTGCTTTGAGAACCATGTGGCGTCCAACCTTTGAACTTCAGTCGGATTTCAGCAGTGCTTCCCAGGCGCAGAGGTCATTGCGCGGTTTGGGGGCATTAACAGTTGGAGAGTTCATATTAGTTTGTTCCCTTGTAATTAAGAGGCATCACAACAGTATGATTGCTGTAAAAACATTGGTTTTTAATTTGATGCTATGTCATCGTAACTTGTTAGTTATGAAGGAGTAGTGCTTTGTTATTGGTACAGAACTTTTCTTCCAGCAAGGGACTAACTGCAGTTTTGTGTTTCTAGAAACAATAATATGTCTGGATGGGATTTTTTAATACTAGTATTTGCTTTGAGTTATTGTGTGTATTTATTTCCTTGTTACATATGGATTTATGTAATTCCTTAAGTTTGGCTAAAAGATTAGTGATTACTTGAGAGCTCTTCAGTGTTGCATAGAAATGGCTGCATGCGAGGTTGCGGGGAGAATATACTTGAACATTTGCACTTGGCCATTTTGTGCACGTATACTTTGTTCATGCAAGTTAGTTGTAGACCTGCAGTTGGGCAGGAAGAGCTATGGTTACAATTTGTTATGCAGCTGAACACTTAAGCCACAACAACAAAAAAATCAAAACCAAAAAAGCCCTCCAGAGTTGATTATTAATGCCTTATGTAATGTATAGGTAGCAACTGGGGAAAAGTTGTCCCATGGACTGAAAATATATAGAGATACATACACTGTCCTCTTTTTCCTGCATTCTAGAATTTTAGACTTTGAAATGTGAAGTATAAATGAAATGTAGGACTTGGCTTTTTGATCTACAAAGATTTTTTTACCCTGCTTGACCCACTAGTCAGCTGTTTGAGATGCTGCTTTTATGAATAAATGAATGCAGAACTGGACTCATCATGCAAGAGCTCCAAGTACACTGACAGATGAAACTTTTTCTTTTAGCACGATAGCAATGTCGCATGATGCTTTGTGCCGTATCCAGTGCTGCTACCTATGTTTGAGTTTCTCTTTTATGAACAAGAATGGATTTTAAAATAGAAAGAATTTCATGTGGCATGTTAGTTGTGTCACTGGATCAAGCCTTGTGAGCCTATAGTAATGCATGTGTAGAATGTGTCTAAATTCTCCATTTTTATTTTTTTCTATGAACTTTCAGGAAAATCGTACAAGTTTCTGATGTTACTGTTCTGCAGTGAAGTTCGTAGCTTATCTGTAGTCTGAAGCATGCATTTCATGTTTGTACATTTGTAAATCTAAAGCATGCGCTTAAATGTTTGCGAAGATTGGTCTTATACTTTTGAAAGTGAGTTTTGTGATGAAAATTCTTAACTGTCCTATTAGTGACAACACAAGAAAGAACTGTGCTGTCAAAATTAAAGGATTCATTAGGGAAAAATCTTCAAGTTAAAAGGAAATGCAGTTTCATTTTTTTCATAGGAAACGTACAGTTTCCAATAGCTAGAAGTTAATGGAACTTATTTTCTGTCTGCTAGTTCTTCCTTACCCCCTCGTTTGAGTTACTGTTTGTGTGTCTCAAAGGTGTGTTGTTTTAAGCGCTATTTCTTGTTGGTTGGTGTGTGCTTTCAGAGGACTACGGGAGTATGCTGCTTGCAGAGGCTCTGCTGGAGGAGTGTCTGAAGGAAAGCTTTGCCAAACTGAAGGACTCCGTTCCACTGTCAGAGAAGAATGAGCCAAAACTGATTGAAGCTAAACAGTATCTGACCAATATCTTAAGCAGAGGAAAACTACGAGTAAGTGGCCACTGTCGTCATAATTCCTGCCAACTGGATGCTTCCTTCATGCAATTATTAGTCTGATACAAGGTGTTGGTGTTGCCTGTTCACGTCCCTGTATGTACAGTGCTGTGTTGTGGGTATTACTAATGCACTGGTAATTCAGTACCCCTTTACCATGTCTTCTGTTGGGAGACTTGCTTTTTTATACACAAACAAATTATGTGCTACGTGTATATATCTGGTTTATTTTTTTATTAGAAAGAAGCAGGATAAATATTTAGGAATTCTCTGGGTTGGTGGGGCATGGCTGCATAATGGTGCTGTTAGGCTACCACAGCTCAGTGACCCACTGCTGCTCCCGGTCTGGGGGAATGGTGTAGACCTGGTCAGCTCCAGATAAGGGGTAAAATGGGCCACAAGCTGCTGTCAGGCGGTGAAGGTTGTGGTGAGAGTCCAGGATTACAGCCTTACATTGCTTTCTGTCTCTGCCAGGGAAGGCATGCAAAGTTACGCTTTTATTTTGTTTTGTAATCTGGATGTGTGGCTGGTAGCTGCCTGTCAACTCAGCTGCAGAGTTTTAGGAGTGTTTTAAGACTCTGCCTCCATGGCTGCTGCTGTGTTGGTGTCCTTAGACACAGAGTTGCATAACTGGGTTTAAAAAGAGGATGAATTACATCAGTCTATTCTAGACTTGTGTTACTTTTGATCCTGAAACTTACAGG